TTGCTTGCTGATCCTGTCATAGTCCTAAAATAGGACATCACAACTCGTATCCTTTAGTGAGAGTGCCTTGGTCGAACCATTCCTTCAAGTCTAACCAGATCTCCCATGCAGTCTTAGCATATCTCACACTACTACGAACTTCCTTGTTCATGGAAGTACGCAGTCAGCCTTTGACAATGTATCCAAAGTCCATTTTTGGGCTCATCATCATGTTTGGGAAAAGAATCGTCAACAAAGCCAAAATTGTTCTTGACGATGAGAGAGTTTGTCATATCTACGACCCGCTGGATGTAGTTGGTAGGGGCGAGAACGTCCCCGACGTGGTGTTGTTCTACGCTATCTGAAGGATGGAGGTCGAGTGTCGATGATGGGTTCATGACGAACGACGTGCTGGATGATGACCCATCGAGAATCTCTTGGCTTCTTACGATCACCCGAACCCTTCTTATCTTCGGAATCGCTCATGGTGATGACCTAATCAACAAAACACAAAGATACCCTAGAGCGAGCACTCTGATTCCATGATAACTTGAACACACAAAGAACAAAAGGTAAAAAAGAGAGACAGAGTTTACATGGTATCCCCGATTGAGTGGGAGTAGTCCACGGGAGAGATGAGTCTCTCCAGCTTCTGATCTTATTGGTTGGTTCTTACTTATCCAACTCGGTTGTACACAACTACTTATACAATGTGACTTAGTAGCTAGGGTTTTACAATTGTCTAGGGAACTTTCCCTAGTACCGCAAGATGCCTCATGGCCATGCAACACTCGGACGAGCCATGTGATATGTGGGCTGACTCGGTTGACTTGTCGACAGACGCGGGCTTAGCTGAAGTTGATGATGACTCTACCTTGTCCAATATGCCATACCATGTACTTTAAAACAAAGTTCAATTGAGTGTCATGAAGATTGGAACATGTGACTCTAAGAACAAACCAATTTTGATATCTTAAAAAATATTAAAGCAGTTTTAGTTTTCACCCCCTGCCACGTACCCCCAACTAAAACGAGAGGCTGTCCACGTCAGCATGTATCCCCACCGCGTCTTTACCTTTTCCCCTTCTGTTTCTGTTTTCTTCGGATGCCCAGGAAATTCCAACCTCCTACAATCTTCTTCTTCCTACATCTGCCAACGCCAAGGATAGCATGTAGCATGGATCTCCACCGTGTTTTACAGCACATTCAGACTTTACAGGCCACACTGAGTAAAGACCCCAAAATCACTGGCCGGCGATTGGCGTTCTCATACACTAACGCCCTCAATCATCGTGTACCTTCCAGGCCAGTTGTTGCGCCACCAATCCTCCTCCCTGCGACCGCCGACCGCCATCTATTCAACTAGCACTGCGATTTTAACGCCTCCACCTCTCACCGTCCCAGACATCCCCCAGGTAATTTTAATTTCATGCCGACACCTGATTTTTGATTCAATTTTGCCACTCACTCTATTTCAATTTTGCCCCCCTCGAACTCCTGCTTCAAAAAACAGCCTCTCTAGCCCTGCGCCACCAACCGCTTCCTTGCATTCCACCCGCAACGCTACTGCTCTTGAGAAGCCTTTCAGCCGTTTTTTGATCGTTCCTTCAGAACATCTCAATTTTGCTTATAAAAAAGGATTAGAACCCCCCTCCCGCTTGAAAAAATCTAAAACCTTCATCATCAATCTGCAGCCTATAGCAACCTATCAATTTGCAATTGCATTCGCTTACTATAATACGAAATAAAGAAAAAGCTTTCGTTGTCGGTTGTGTTGAGTAATTTGCGATTACACTAATTTTTTTGGGTTAGTTTAGACCGTTTACTCTGTATTTTCCCTTCCTCAAAGTTCTTCCTTCCTTCCTTTCTTCTCTTTTCGTGGATGGCAACTGCCATGCTCGCCCTGTTTCCAAATATATCACCCAGGCACAATTTAATCCAAAAACTAATGCATGTGGGATGCTATCATTTTGACAACTAATTAGAGGTGGCAAATGGATTAGATTCATGGATTGGTGGATTGGATTAGTGAATCCTTGAATCGAATGGATTGGTGAATACATGAATTGGATCTAATAGATTAGTGCGCTGGATAATGGATCACAAGTGATATCTAAGCATGGGACCAAGATGTATATTTGAAAATTTGTAGGTACTAAATGGCATAACCAAAAATATTTGTGGTACCAAAACGTAACTTTTCAATTATATTTTATGTCACAAATAAAGTTAATGTATTGTAAAATATATAAATTATAGGTAATTTTTCAACAATCAATAAATCTAATTTATGAATCCATCAATTAAATTTGCATCAAATGATTATAATTTAAACGGATTAATTAATTGAATACTAGCCTTGAACCTGAACGATGTATTTATATATGCTCTTGAAATTCATTTTATGTTCATTATATACTATAATCAATTTGAGTGTACTCATTGGTGTTAATCCAACTATAGAAAACAATTATTATATATGATAATCATTTCAATATTTTGGTGGAAAAATGTTTCATATTACTTAGAGTGAGACTTCAAAAAATCATGATTGCAACTGCTTTACAAACTTAGAGAATTGAATAAACATGACTAACCATGATAAATTATTAGAATTTTGTACATATGTCTACGAACAACATAGCCGATAACCAATATTCATAAATTAGTAGTTGATTATATTAACATTGAGATATGAAGTTACGATGTTACAAACATATGATTGAGTATTGAGTGCATATTTGAGAAGTTAGTCACAAAGTCAATCGTTCATATACTAATATTGACATCACACACGAGACATCAAGGCATGATCTGACGCGGACCCAGAGCGAGAATTTGTAGAAGAATTTTCATGGACCGAGAATCCGTTCCCTGGAACCGAAATAAAGAAAATTGCAGCGCACTAGGCCGGCCATCCCGGAAAATTCTGAACGTATTTCATTGGTCCTATAAAGCAGGAAAGCGCTGGGGATTGGGTTCTGCTAAGCAAAACAAGGTGTGACCAATTTCTTCATGTCCAATTACATTGATCTATGCATGAAAGTTCCAATTTCACTTTTGTCTGCAATTTATCTGGTTATTCATGTTTGGTCAACACCAAATGATATAAAGGTTATGTTTCAAATGATGTATCCACCAATACATTATGGATTCGTTTTGCCCAGAATTTTAAAAATGTGTGAATTTAATTTAATTTTTACATTATAGAAAACCCGAGAATTATCAAGTGAAAATTGGCTAAATTACATGTTTAGAATGTGTTAAAACCATGATCCATGCAATTGCATCGGAGACCGTACCAAAAAAGTCAGCGGTAGAGAATTTTATGATAAAACTGTGTTTTAATCGTAGTTCAACCGTTAGTACCATTAAATACAGCCTATCAATTTAACCTCCGATACTGGTATTTCGTGGTTGCACCGTCGATACACAACAGTTTCATGGACCATGATTAAAACTGAAATCTGAAATTGATGGTCTGAAATTTTTATTAAAATACCAATTTACTCCTTCCGTTGTGAGTTTGTAATCATAGAAGAGGAAGAACATTGGGTAGAACAACATGGAAATGTCAAAATATGGGAGTAGGTGCCCTAACTACAAATTCCACGTCCGCTGCAATTCTAGGGTCATTTTTGTCCATCCAAGGATCCAAACGTGGGGTTTTTACCCAATTAGGCCATTATGTTAAAATTAGGCACAATTCTCACATCCAAAATTGAAGGGGAGGTGCTTCTGGATCTACAATTGCACTTCAGGATCCTGGAATTGGCGTAAAATCCTGAAGCTCAGAAGTAAGTTAGCTCCTTTTATTTCAAGTAGGGATGGTGTCTTATTGTTGGATGGTTTGCCTATGCCTCGATTCTCTATTAAAAGAGTCTGGCAGCTTACTAGACCTTCTCACCAGAGGGTTGTCTGGTGGAAATTACTCTGGAAGGGTGTGGCTATACCAAGCAATCGATTGATTACTTGGCTGGTAACTCGAGGAAGTATACAAACAAAGGAAAAAATGCAGAGATGGGGGTTCCAAGGATCTTTGGATTGTGTTCTTTGCGGGGGAGGGGTTGAGAGTAGGCAGCATCTATTTGTCCTCTTCCCCTTCACTAGGCAGATTCTTGATGAATTGTTTAAAGGTTCTATGCAGGTTCCGGTGTTCCACACATGGGAGGACATTGTTTCATGGCTGTTGGAGAAGCATGGTAAGCAGACAGAGGAAGCTGAAGTAGGGAGATTTATCTGGCAAACGTGGGTCGGTCAGATGTGGAGAGAAAGGTGCCGCAGAATGTATGGCGGTAAGGTGCGAGGGTTTCAAGAAGTGATGGCTGTTATTAAGGCTGAGATTGTGTATGTACTTGGGAGGGGTAGAGTGAATCTCTTTAGGAATGATTAGTTGAAATCTGTCTCAGAGGTAGTTTTTGGTAGTGTTTGGTTGTTGTTTGGCAGTTTGGTGTTGTATCCCTAGCTAGGAAGGGTGTTGCTAGCAACGTGCTTTTTTGATAAATAAGATCCCAACGATTCATAAAAAAAAAAATTCACATCAAACAACCCCTATATGAAATCATGCCTAAATCAGGTATGGAAAGGCCGATAGTCATTAAAAAAATTTAAGTCACATGAACAATTCTATTTCAAAAATAGGCTATTGGTTCATGCACAACAAGAACACAACGTTATGCGTTACAAATACTCAGAACACAAACAAGATAACACATTTGGCAATCGTTAATTGCTAAGTTAATTTGGTTACTTGAAATCAATTAAACTCCTCGAAATTTAAATCCTAATGCACCTATAAAAAATTGTAGTCTACTCATTCGCCAAATAAATCATTTTACCAATGTACCCAAATATATAAACATAACAATAAAAAAATCTACTAGATCATAAGAAGCTAAAATTACTGCTTCTGTTCCACATTAAATTATGCCAAAAAAATTCACCAGCCCAATGGGCGGGCACAAAGCTAGTTATATTATAAACCAATTAGTTCCAATTGTTGGGAGAGCGGAGTCAAATGAGTAATGACGCAGAGCCGAATCTTCGGAAAGGCAAAACTTCAGACTAGAGGTCTACGGCAAACTGAATACCGTTAAAAAACAAGCCCACGGGCATACATTATATACTTTGTGGTGCTGCCGGCTCCCTCCACCACCTTTCGGCATCTCCGTCACCTTCACGTCAACGATATATACACCAATACACCTCGGATCGGGACAATAACCTAACAATTCCTCCTCACCTCCATATATCGACTTCTCACCTTTTCACGGCGGCATTTAATAGATTTTCTTTCGTCGCATTGCAATCCCTTTCTGCTTTTCAGCCCTCTTCACCGGTTCCTCCGCCGCCGGCGATGCGCTCATTTTCCAGGTACTTTCCTTCTTTTCCAATTCTCATTGCCTACTTATATTCCTCTTTTCCAATAAAAATCTGTGAACTCCATGAGTCGTTTTAGCTCTAGAGATTTGCCTGCCGATCATGCTTCTAAGGGAAAAAAGAATGGCCGCCGGAATTCTCTGCATGCAAATCAATTTTCTTTTCTTTGGAAGTCACACGAGGCATTATTTACCGATTGCTTAGTCAAAGCAATTCATGGTTAGTGTTAGGCCTATGAATCTATGTTACTCCGATTGCATCCCTTACCCTAAGTTTGCTAAAATTGATAACATCCTCTGCTTTGCTTAGAGAAATTTCGTGTGATTAGCTTCCGAATGGATCACGTTTAAGCTGCCTAGTTTTGGGAATTAAGGTTTCTTGACAATCCATATGCTTAAACAATCTGATTGCGGTGGGAATACTAGAAGTGGTCAGTTGCAAACTAGGGTCGATACTGCCTATTCGAAGGAATAACTTGTTTCCTAATGATTTGGGTTCCAGGTGAGGTTTTGAGCTTTGAGCGTCAGAAATGGCTACCCTTGAAGACATTTGTTATTCGGCAGCTATCAATCTCCTATCCGCAATTGCCTTTCTCTTCGCATTTGCGATGCTAAGGCTTCAGCCGGTGAACGACAGAGTATACTTCCCTAAATGGTATCTCAAAGGGATACGAGGGAGCCCAACACACCATGGGGGGTTTATGAAGAAGTTTGTGAATCTGGATCCTAGAACCTACATAAGGTTTTTGAACTGGATGCCTGCAGCATTGCGGATGCCAGAACCTGAACTTATTGAGCACGCTGGACTTGACTCTGTAGTCTATATACGGATTTACCTTATGGGGTAGCTCCTTCTTCCTCCTCTTTTACGTTTCAGTATGTAGATTGGTATCCCTTTACTTAAAATTATCAAATTTGGTTTATCATTTATGCTTCCACAAAGCTACAATTAAGCACCTTAACATTGTAACATAATATAATTTGGACGAAGCCTCTGATTTTCCAGGTTGAAAATATTTGTTCCTATAACATTTCTCGCTTGGGCTGTGTTGGTCCCAGTCAATTGGACTGGTGGAACACTGGATAAGATAAAAGATTTGACATTCAGTGATATCGACAAGTTGTCAATATCAAACATCCCAGAAAACTCTATAAGGTGAGTTTCTTTAATGATATTATTCTCGTGTTTCAGTGAAAGTATGTTGGTTAGAGCACGTTGATATGAAGAAGTGATACGTCATCTCATCTCTGCTGTTATTCTTTTGAAGTTGTATTTTGAATTCTATGCTTACTTGTGATAGCCAAATCTTATTCTAGACTTGGATGATATTGGGATGCACATTTTTATCTATTGCTACAGTTTGGTCTGCATATTGCTTAGGTAAACGGAAACTATTAGGTACAATGTCCTTGACTTGGTAGATAAACTTTTAAGCGAAATATATCTTTATAGCCGTTGGTCTTGACTTGATGTTCAGTATAATTACTGGAATGTTCTTGCAATCAATAAAATCTGGTATGTAATGTCAATAACCTCTTTCCCGGTTCAGTGAACATCGAGTTACTGACTCCTTGCATGAGCCCTACTTCTCTTTTCAGTCTGTTGCAGTGTAGGTGTGTAATTTCATTAAGATAAAAGTGGTGTTTGTAATGACTCAGTCGAGAAGGTACTGTGAATCTATAATAGCATTGCCTTCTATGATTGAAGGTTCTGGGCCCATGCGTCAATGTCATATGTCTTCACGTTTTGGACATTTTTTGTGATCTACCATGAGTACAAAGAAGTAGCGAACATGCGCCTGCAGTTTTTGGCTGCAGAAAGTCGTCGTGCCGACCACTTCACCGTAAGTTCTTATTATCATTCTTTGTTGAAAAACCTTTTTGCTATGAGCAAGCTGTTTATGCTCCAAATTGAACCTTCATTTGTTTGGTGTTCACTCTAGTAGGTTCTTGTGAGAAATGTTCCTGCAGATCCAGATGAATCAGTGACAGATCACGTCGAGCACTTTTTTTGTGTTAATCATCCCGAACACTATCTCCTTCACCAGGTACGTTTGATGATGTTTTGATTCGTTCGAAGTACTGAGCATACATAAGAGAAAGAAAATACCAATCTCTGATCAAGCCCCCCACCAAGATCTTAGATTTATTTGGGTAGTTCCTATTTCCAAACTCTTATAGTCACAATTCAACCTGCTCCAACATACATATAAATTGTCTATTTGTTTGTGAGTAATACTTCAACATGTATATATAGGTGGTATACAATGCGAACAAGCTTGCAGATGTGGTTGAGGCGAAGAAGGCGATGAGGAATCGGTTAACCTATTATCAGAACAAATACGATAGAAACCCTTCTACAAGGCCAACCACAAAGGTATTCAATAAAAAAAGAGTCTTCATTGCAGGGTCTCTGTTTCACAAGACACAATTTCCCCGATAAATATGACGGCTTCTAATGCAAGTTATTAATTTCCTTGAAGTAGACAGGCCTGTGGGGTATGATAGGGAGCACAGTGGACGCAATTGAGTACTATGAATCTGAGATTGATAAGTTGATCAAAGAGGTATGTATGATATTTCACCAAATCTTGCTTCTTTTAAGAGCAAATTGGAGGAGGGCAGAGGGGAAGCAAAAGACCAATTATATTCTCTGTTTTGGCTAATATAAGCACTCGACGTAAAATGCAGGAAGAGTTGGAAAGGGAAAAGGTTCTAAGTGATGCTAATGCCGTTATTCCAGCAGCATTTGTATCTTTCAAATCTCGATGGGCGGCTGCGGTTTGTGCACAAACTCAGCAATCGAGCAACCCAACAATGTGGTTGACTGAGAGAGCTCCTGAGCCACGTGATGTATACTGGAGTAACCTTGCCATACCATATGTGGAGCATACTATTCGAAGGTTTCTCATGGCGGTTGCTCTCTTCTTCTTGATCTTCTTCTTTGTCATTCCTATAGCGTTTGTCCAGTCTTTGGCCACCATCGAGGGGATTGAAAAGGTTTTCCCTTTCTTGAAGCATCTTATAGAAGCGTAAGTTGCTTAAACATCATCTCTTGCACACGCTTAGTTTATTGCACTTTTCTCTTTCATGCTTCAACTGTCTCCCATGGTCCACTTTTTTCTCGCAGGGATTCCATCAAATCCATAGTCCAAGGATTTCTTCCGGGAATCGCTCTGAAAATATTTCTCATCATACTTCCGACGATCCTCATGTTGATGGCCAAAATAGAAGGATTCCACTCACTGTCATCTTTGGATAGGCGAGCAGCTTCAAAGTATCACTTGTTCCTTCTCGTCAACGTCTTCCTTGGTAGCATCATTACAGGGACGGCATTGGAGCAGCTGAAAACATTCATGAAACAGTCTGCTTCGGAGTACGTTTAACTCAACTCTGATCTCCCTTTAATGGAAGAAGTGTTGTTCTTATTAATTTCTAATTTCTAACTAGAATGGTTCTTTTTCTTTCTTTCTCCAAGAATCCCTCAAACAATTGGTGTGTCGATTCCAATGAGAGCCACTTTCTTCATCACTTACATAATGGTGGATGGTTGGTCGGGAATAGCAGCTGAGGTCCTGAGGTTGGTGCCATTGATCATCTTTCACTTGAAGAACACGTTTTTGGTGAAGACCGAGCAAGATAGAGAGCAAGCAATGGACCCTGGTTGCATAAGCTTCCCCATATCGGAGCCTCGAATACAGCTTTATTTCATGCTTGGTTTTGTTTATGCCGCAGTCACACCCTTATTGCTCCCTTTCATCCTCGTCTTCTTCGCCTTCGCCTATGTCATATTCCGCCATCAGGTACCTTGCATTTTTCTGAATTCCTTGACCTCCCAAATGCATCGGCTCTGTAGAGTGTACCTTTTATTATAAGAAATCATTATGACGAGATGTTTAAGTGACTTGAGTAAATTCAAAAACTATTATGCAAGATACAAAAGTACTATGTTAGGAAAGACAATTAATATCTTACATAACAGTTTTAACGAAATGCTGCATAAGATTTTTGTAATAACTTGACATGTCGCAAATATAACTTGCTGGCAGATCATCAATGTGTATGACCAAAAATACGAAAGTGGAGCAGCTTACTGGCCAGATGTGCATCGGCGCTTGATCATCGGTCAACTGATAGCTCAGATGCTCCTAATAGGTCTGCTGAGCACAAAGGGAGCCGAGGAACTGACACCTTTTCTCATCCCTCTCCCTGTTTTGACAATTTGGTTCCACAAGCTCTGCAAAGGCCGCTTCGAATCCGCCTTTGTGAAGTTCCCATTACAGGAAGCTATGGTGAGGGATACGCTGGAACGAGCTACCGAACCAAACCTGAATTTGAGAACATACCTTCATGATGCCTACATTCATCCGATTTTCAAGCATGACCCGTCTGAAAAAACAGAGACGATGATCTATGACGATGAGGAAGACAATCCGCTTGTTGCTACTAAGCGAAGCAGTAAGTTCGTGTCGGATGTCAGTTCTGGGTCTGGTTCCTGATATTAGAAAGAAAAGAGCAAAGGAATGAATGATCTTTTTTCGTATTCATTTATACTTTTTTTCATTTTTATACACATATTCATTCTTTACATGAACTGAATAAGGGCCAAGATTAATACCACACAACTGTCACAGCATATGCTGATACCGAAATGCTGTTGTAGCCACCCCTGGGATAATGGACATTAGTGAGTTACTACTAGCTCAAACTTAGGCCTAATACTCGGCCAGTTGGTTGCGGGAACTCATCCTCGACCTTGCTCTGTGACCCTCCTCCAACACTACTCCGAGATCGCCGAGCCCGGATCCACGATTGATGAATACTAATGCATTGTAATAGGATGTGTAATGCAACTTGTTGAGTCACATACTTGCTTTAGTCGGTCTCATTTCTAATGTCATGATATTGTGTCATGTCTCAGTTTTTTTGGTTTTCACCGGGTTATACCTGGTAACTTTTACCCAAACACTAGCAACTAGAATCCGAATCGGCCATTTTCGGTCGTAATCGAGACGGTTTAAACTGTGCGGTATAATGTTTGACGACAAATTGTAACTAGATTTCCGGCCCTGGCCGATGCCAGATATGGTGTTATCACCCTGCTAATATTATTTACAAAGTCGATTATAGTAAATCTAGGGAAGACAACGATGTCGTCACAGCTTCTTCATAGTGTTGCATGACTTTTGGCCTGTTATAAACGCGCTGCTACGGATCGGGAAATCGCCGGAATCGACAAAGCAAGAATACGAGAGCGAGAATCGAAAGAACACAGACACACGATTTACGTGGTTCACTAACACGATGTGTGTTAGCTAGTCCACGGGCGAGAGAGAGCCAGTTTCACTATATTTGAGGAGATTACAGATTACAGAGGAGTATGAGAAGTATTTATAGTACTTCTCCATGTGGGTCTAAACCTAATCCAATCTAGCAAAGGAAACGGTTACAGACCAGGCCCAGAACCCGAACCCAAATAACATTGAGCCCATACACCGTAGCGGCTGATAGTCCGATTCAAGTCATATCAACAAATCTCCACCTTGACTTGAATCCTCTTCCTCTGAAATCTCTGATGTACTCTGCTCCTTCTCTCTCTCCCGCCATCAATGCCCCGTAGGGCGGAGTCACCCACTCAAGACATTCAGCAAGTCCAAGCAGTGTTGGAACTTGCCATGTGGAACCGGCTTCGTGAACATATCAGCAGGATTATCCGCGGTGCCAACCTTCTTCACCTTAATCCTCTTCTCTGTCCTCAAGAAATGATACCTCACATCGATGTGCTTAGTCCTCTCATGGTGGACTTGATCCTTGGCCAAGCATATTGCACTCAAACTGTCGCAATACACCACTGCCTGATCATGATGTAGACCAAGATCACCAACCAGTCCCTTCAACCATATTCCCTCCTTAGCAGCTTCTGTCAACGCCATATACTCTACCTCAGTAGTAGACAATGTCACCGCCGACTGCAAAGTCGCCTTCCAGCTCACTACAGAACTCCCAAGAGTGAATACATAACCGGTCATCGATCTCCTCGTGTCAACATCTCCAGCATAGTCCGAGTCAGAATACCCAGACACCAAGCACTCTGTATCACTTCCGAAGCTAATTCCCACATCAGGTGTACCCTTAAGGTACCGGAAGATCCTCTTCACAGCCTGCCAATGCTCCTTCCCAGGTTGTATCATAAACCTGCTGACAACACTAACAGCATGTGCAAGATCAGGTCTAGTGCATACCATAGCGTACATCAAGCTACCTACTGCACTAGCATATGGGACTCTCGACATGTACTACTTCTCAGCCTCTGACTGCGGTGCATAAGCCGAGGATAGATGAACATTTGAAGCACTAGGAGTATTTAAGGGCTTTGCTGAAGACATGCCAAACCTCGACAGTATCTTCTGGATGTAGCTCTTCTGTGACAAGAAAAGCTTCTTCTTCAACCTGTCCCTGTAAATCTCCATACCCAAGATCTTCTGAGCAGCTCCCAAATCCTTCATCTCAAACTCAACACTGAGAAGCCCCTTTAACTTCTGGATATCAGACTTTGACCTCGCAGCTATGAGCATATCATCCACATACAAAACTAGATATATCATCGAACCATCCTCTGCCTTGCTGTGATATACACAACAATCATATGGACTTCTGTTGTAGCCCAGCTCAAGCATGTAACTGTCAAATCTCTTCTACCACTGCCTCGGAGATTGCTTAAGTCCATACAAGGACTTCTTCAGCTTACAAACATAGTCTTCTTTTCCCGGAACCTCGAATCCTTCTGGCTGAGTCATGTAAATTTCTTCCTCCAACTCTCCATGTAGGAAAGCTGTCTTCACGTCTAGCTGCTCGAGCTCCAAGTCATAATGTGCCACTATTGCTAGTAGCACTCTGATCGAAGTATGTCTGACCACTGGTGAGAAAATCTCATTATAGTCAACTCCTTCCCTCTGCGAGAAGCCTCGTGCAACCACCCGAGCTTTAAATTTCATGCCCTCTTTAGAAGTGATTCCTTCCTTCTTCTTGTAGATCCACTTGTTTGTAACAATCTTCCTTCCCTGTGGTCGTTTGACTAGCTCCCAAGTCTGATTCCTGTCATGGGATTCCATCTCATCTCCCATTGCGGCAAGCCACTGATCAGCTTCACCACCCGAAACTGCTTCTCTATAGGACTGTGGCTCTTCTGCATCCACTTCTTCAGCAACCTGAAATGAATACGCCACCATGTCCTCGAAGCCATACCTCTGTGGAGGTACTCCTGCAGTCGCTCTCTTCGGTCTACCGGAAGCAATAGACTGTTGAGCTCGTGCTCTGGACTCTGAAATTTCTGGCTCTGCAGAGACATCCTCATCATGTTGATCTTCTCCACCTTGGTGCTCAAACTCACTCTCATTGAGAGTTTGCAGCTCCACCTGCTTATCAACATTCCTGCTACCTTCAACAACAGTAACCTTCAACATGGGGTTAAACATAGACTTCTCATCAAATATCACATTTCTACTAAGTATAACTCGATGCTCAGAAGGTGACCAGAATCGAAATCCCTTAACTCCATCTCCGTAACCCACAAATACACCCTTCTTTGCCCTTGGGTTCAGCTTACCCTCATCCACGTGATAATAAACAGGACACCCAAAAACTTTCAGCGAAGAGTAATCAGCAGGCTTACCATACCACACCTCATAAGGAGTCTTACACTCGATACCTGTGTGAGGTCCACGGTTGATCAGGAAGCACGCCATGTTTACTGCTTCTGCCCAGAATCTTCTCTCTAGTCCAGCATTAGAGAGCATGCACCGTGCTCTCTCCAACAATGTCTGGTTCATCCTTTCTGCAACGCCATTCTGCTGAGGTGTATCTCTAACAGTCCGATGACGGGCAATCCCTTCATCCTTGCAGAATTCGTTGAACTCAGAACTGCAGAACTCCAGACCATTGTCCGTTCGCAGCTTCTTGATCTTCTTCCCGGTCTGATTCTCCACCAATGTCTTCCACTGCTTGAACTTCGTGAAAGCCTCACTTTTCTGCTTCATCATGAAAATCCAAGTAAATCTCGAATAATCATCAATAATAGACAGAAAATACCTGCTGCCTCCAATGGATTCAACTCGTGAAGGACCCCAACAGTCGGAGTGGAGGTAATCCAGTACCCCCTTCGTCCGGTGGATACCCTTCTTGGGAAACCTGCTGCGATGTAGCTTCCCAAACACACAATGCTCACAGAATTCCAAATTCTGCACCTTGTGCCCGCAAAGAAGATCCCTCTTCGATAGAACTTGCATCCCCCGTTCACTCATATGCCCCAGTCTCATGTGCCAGAGAGTGGTCATATCTTCCTGTTGAACCTTAGATGATGCAACTGCAGCAGAACCAGACAACACAGACCCTTGTAATGCATACAAGGTCCCACGCTTCACGCCATTCAGCACCTTCCTTGAACCTTTGCAGACATACACAACTCCACCTTTTCCTTTGAAGCTGAAGCCCTTGCTGTCGAGTAGACTCAAGGAGATCAGGTTCTTCGTCATTCGTGGAACATGTCTGACATCATTCACGGTACAGAACGAACCATCATGTGTCCGAACCTTTATGGACCCGATTCCAACAACCTTGCAGACAGCTCCATTAGCCATGACCACGTTACCACCATCTATCTGCTCGTAGGTTGTGAAGCAATCCCTGTTCGGAGACATATGATATGAGGCTGCAGTATCCAGAAACCACACATCACCACGATGTGCCTTCTCATCTACAGCCAAGGCGAGATCGTCTTCAGAACTGTTGTCCACTTCTGCCACGGCAACTGAACCTTGTTTCTTCTGTTGCCCTCTTCTCTTGGGACAGTTGTACTTCCAATGCCCCACTTCCTTACAGTTGTGACAAGCATCACCTGGCTGTGGACCGGGACCCTTGGAACTCTTGCTCGAATTCCCTTTACCAGATTTCTTCTTTCCCTTTCCACCTGTAACAGCCAAACCCGATGCCTCACCACTTGTACCAGATCCGGACGCCTTATGTCTGATCTCTCTCGTATGAAGAGCAGACCTGACATCCTCCAACGACACGCTTTCTTTACCAGCAATAAGAGAATCAACGAAATTCTCATATGAACTCGGCAAAGAAACCAGCAGGATTAGGGCAGCATCCTCGTCATCAACTTGAACATCTATATTACGCAGATCCAGCAAAATAGAGTTAAGCTGTTCGAGATGTTCCCTCAAAGGCGTACCTTCTTGCATCCTCAAGCTGAACAACCGTTGCTTGAGATGCAGCTTGTTGGTTAGAGACTTAGTCATGTACAGACTCTCTAGTTTCAACCACAAGCCCGCGGCAGTCTTCTCAACAGCGACTTCAATGATGACGTCATCAGACAATGATAGCATGATGGTCGAGTTGGCCTTCTCCTCCAGGGTATTCCACTCATCGTCATCGAACGCTGCCTTCTTCTGTTTCGCAGACAGCGGCCCCCACAGCCCTTGCTGTTTTAATAAAGCCTGCATCTTGATCTGCCATATAGCGAAACTGTTCTTCCCCGTGAACTTTTCGATCTTCATGTTCACCGACGTCATTCTTCTGAATCGAAAAAAAAAACCCTAGCCTGATTTCCAGCCGCGGCTCTGATACCACTTGTTATAAACGCGCTGCTACGGATCGGGAAATCGCCGGAATCGACAAAGCAAGAATACGAGAGCGAGAATCGAAAGAACACAGACACACGATTTACGTGGTTCACTAACACGATGTGTGTTAGCTAGTCCACGGGCGAGAGAGAGCCAGTTTCACTATATCTGAGGAGATTACAGATTACAGAGGAGTATGAGAAGTATTTATAGTACTTCTCCATGTGGGTCTAAACCTAATCCAATCTAGCAAAGGAAACGGTTACAGACCAGGCCCAGAACCCGAACCCAAATAACATTGAGCCCATACACCGTAGCGGCTGATAGTCCGATTCAAGTCATATCAACAAATCTCCACCTTGACTTGAATCCTCTTCCTCTGAAATCTCTGATGTACTCTGCTCCTTCTCTCTCTCCCGCCATCAATGCCCCGTAGGGCGGAGTCACCCACTCAAGACATTCAGCAAGTCCAAGCAGTGTTGGAACTTGCCATGTGGAACCG